AAAGCATCTACATATATTTGAAAAATTTTAATAGATATCTGCTACGCTTACACACACACACACACACACATATGAGTCACCTGGTGTTTATTTTTCATATAACTGGGATAAGGTTTTGTAATATGTACGTGTTGTCTCCACCAACAAAACCTGAACACTAGGAAGAGATACCACGTGATTTTTGCCTGGTATTTAGTAAATACTTAATAAATATTTGCTGACTGGCTGATGGATTGCTTGACTATAGGGAGTTCCTAGTGAGGAAATGCTACCTACCAATTCAAATCAACAACTAACCTTATACTCTAAAACGGCTCTTAACTTGGGGTCTATGAACTTTTAAACATTTTTATTAACATCTGTACTTCAATACAATTGATTTCTTTCATACTCCTATGGATTTTATTTTGTGCATTCAAAAATATGATTCTAAGGTTCCTTACACTTCACCAGACTGCCAAGGAGGTCTACGCAGGCAAGGGGAAAGAAAACAAATTACCTACTATACTATGTGCCAGGCACTGTGCTAAGCACTTTACACCTATTACCTCATTTGATCCTCAACAAGTCTATGAGGTAGCTGCTGTTATTATCTCTTCATTTTACAGTAGAGGAAACTGATGCAAACAGAGGTTAAGCAACTTGTCCAGGGTCACACAGCTATTAAGTCTGAGACTAGAACTGAACTCATGCCTTTCTGACTCCATGCCCAGCATTCTAAGCACTGCTCCATCCAGCTGCCTTTTGTACCTATGACCTGGGGCATAGAACTAGTAGTAGTCAGCAGTGAGCCTTTAACCCGGCTTATTCTGATTCCAAATTGAACCCTCTCTCTACTACAACCATAATGCTTCTCAGAAAAGCATATATACATAACATAATTTTTTGTATCCTCTAGACATGATATTTGCTTATTTATTCTGTACCAAAGTTTATTTGTCCTTCTTTTTGAAGGCTAATGAGATCACAGTATGATAGCCTGACTCATGCATGAATTGGATTTAAGTAAGGCAGAGTTGCAGAAAGTCATCAGCCTCACTCTCTCTTTCATAGCCACTGAAGTCCAGTGGCAAGACAAAAGTCAAGATGATTGGCAATGGCCTGGAATGCAATGGATGACCTTGGTGTCTTCAATGTCTGACCAAGCTCAAAGCACTCCAAAGCACCTGCTTTAGATACCTTCATGGCCATGGGAATAAATTGTTCTCATCCACCCATTCCACTATGGGAAGTCTTCACATTCTTTAAGTAGACACCTCCTACCCCAGAACTCACCAACAAGTTTGAAGCCCATCAGTTACTCTTCAATCCTTTAGCCAATCTGCTAAGACAGTTTATGGGGTGTGGCCACTGCACATGCTACAGCTTCGTGGAGCCACAGGGGAGAGCTGAATGCCAAGTAGATAACAAAGCAGCCCTGGAAAGGGCTCAGCAAGCCCTCACACCGAGGTGCTAGTCTTCTTTGAATACCCCACACACCTAGAGCAGGTGAGTAGAGGGGAGGTAATGGGAAGCCTTGCTTAGGAGTGCAGACCAACCTCTTGCCACGCTGCATAAAGAATAAAAAGTCAATTTTTGGTCTTCTCAAAACTCTCGGATCAGTAACTTCAAGGCCCCTACAAGTACACAACCCTAAAATTAGGAAACAATTGCCTAAATAAATGGTTCGCATGTATTGTGGGGGAGAGGGGATCACTGCTGCATAGCCAACTTTCTGGTAAGAAGCATCTCTAAAGTTCACTAGAGGCAGCTAGGTGGTACGAATCCAGGAAGGGCTGAGTTCCAGCCTAGCCTTAGAAACTTAGTTACTGTGTGACCCTGGAGAACTCATTTGACCTCTCTCTGCCCCAGTTTCTTCAACTGTAAAATGGGCATCATAATAATAATAACTCCCAGGGTGGTTGAGAGAACCAAATGAAATATTTTAGTACAGTTCCTGGCTCATGGGAGGAGCTTAATAAATGCTTATTTGTTTCCTTCCTTCCTTTCTTCCTTCCTTCCTTCCTTCCTTTAACTAGGCTAGTTCACAGACAAAAGGCATGAGGTCTATGTTCAAGCCCCTCTCACATAGGCATCACCCTAGTCGAGATCCTCATCACTTCTCACCTAGACTATTGCAACAGCTTCCTAATTTCACATTCTGTCTCAGGTCTCTTGCCTTTTCAAATCATCCCACACACAGCTACCACAGTAATGTTCCTCAAGTGCAGGCCTGACCACGTCACCCCCAAAACACACACACACACACACACACACACACACACACACACACACACACACACTCAACAAACTCTGCTTGCTCTTTATCACCAGTGGGATCAAAGGATCAAATACAAACTCTGCTGTTGGGCATTTAAAGTTCTTTGAAATCTGACCCAATCCTGCCATTTCTGTCTGTTGTACTTTACTCTCCTCCTCTGTGCTCTGTACAACGCAGACAAATTGACCTTCATGCTATTCTTCACTCACTAAATTTGATCTCCTGTCTCTGTCCCTGGAAGAATCTCCCTCCTCATTGCACCCTCTTAGAAATCCTGGTTTCCTTCAAGACATAGCTCTACATCCTCTACATGAGACTTTTACTGGTTCCCTCTGACAGTAATGGCCTCCCCTACAAATGACCTTGTATGCTGCTTAGCATATTTTTTTATATACCTAAAAATGTACATGTTTTCTCCTCCACAGAACATGTACTTCTTGAATTCAGGGATTCGCTAACTGGTTCACTCTTGTCTTTGTATCTCAAGCACCCAGTACAGTGCCTGACACATAGTAGGGTCTTAACACATACTTATTAAACTGTTGGTTGAGAACACCATTATGAGTTAAGTAATAGAGGTATAATTAAGCCCTTTATACACATAAGGGAACAGACCCATAAAAACTACCTGACTTACCCAGTCACACAGCTAATGAGTAGCAGAGCTGGGATGTTAATCCAAGTCTCCTGCCCCTAAGGCTTACACTCCCTCCACTTCAATATACTTGCACATCTGCTGAGGGCTTACTGTACGCCAAGATACTGTATCAAGATGTTAAAGCAAATAGAACACCCCCTAAAAAGCTTCCAAACTAAACAAAAGCCATTAAACAATAAATAAATTAGAAAAAAAGTAAAATACGAACTGGAGAAAAGCTGTAATGTTTCTAAGACATTGTGAGTCATGGAGAACAGAGAAATTTATTTGAAAGCATCAATCTATTTGAGAACATTACTTTAAAGCTTTAAAATCATTCAAAAATTATTATGCTCTTATCCATCAGAAACATTGTAGAGTACATTGCTGGTTCTATTTTCTTTCATTCATTCAACAAATATTCAGGAAATGTCTGATGTGTGTTCAGTATTGTATTAAATAACAGGAAGGATAGTTACATAAAAAAAAAGATCCCTGCCCTCCAGCTTTAGTCAAGTTTTGGAAACAAGTTACAAATAGTTGAAAAGTTAAACAACATAATTAAGTGTCCAGTATCTGGTAGAGACAATAGATGGCAGTTGTAGGAAGAAAATATTACTGTGGACACACAAGTATTAGGAGAAGACTTCATGGCCCTTGAGATGGGCTCTGAAGACTGGGCAAATTCTTAATAAGCAGAAGGGAGTAGGATGGGAATAAAATTAGCAAAGGCAAAGAGAGAGAAGACATAGTGAGTAGAAAGCCAGTCTCAAGGCCGGGAAGATCTGGGTTCAAGTCCTGACTCTGGCAAATGTGACTGTGGGCAAGTCACTCAAGGTCTCAGACTTTTTGGTCTCATGAGCCCATTTAGCTCTTTAGAGTTATTGAGGACACCTCCTCCCAGCCCAAGAGGTCTTCTTTATGTAGGTTATAGCTATCAATATTGGCCATATTAAAAATGAAAATATCATATTATTGTGAAAATTGTTTTGACTTTAACCCCTTATAAGGGTTTTGGGGCATCTAGGTGGTCCATTCGATGGAGTGTGGGGCCTAGAGTCAGAAAGACCTGAGTTTCAAATCTGACCTCTAATGCCTACTAGTTGTATGGACCTGAGCAAGTCACATAACACTGTGTGCCCTATTTGAACAACAAGAATAACAAAAGAGTTTTGAAGACCCCCCCAGTTTTGAGAACTGCTGCTCTTTGTTTAATCATTGCAGTCGTGTCCAACTCTTCGTGACCCCATTTGGGGTTTTCTTGGCAAAGATAGTGGAGTGGCTTGCCATTTCCTTCTCCAGCTCATTTTAAAGATGAGGAAACTGAGGCAAACAGGGTCAAGTGACTTACCCAGGATCACATAGCTAGTAAGTGTCTGAGGCCAAATTTGAACTCAGGAAGATTAGGCTTCCTGATTCCCAGCCCATTGCTCTATCTACTGTGCCACCTAGCTGCTCTAGAAACTCTTTAAGATTGCAAGTTGTAAAGATGTTGACCTACACTGATACTGGTACTTTCCTCACCTCATACCAATGAAAACAAAGATCAAGTCACTATCTCTATTGCCATAGATGAAGGGTGCTTACCCTGGTATCTGTAGATGGATTTCAGCAGATCTGTGAACTTGGACAGAAAAAAAGATTACACCTTTTACTTCAATATAATTGGTTTCTTTTATAATCCCATATATTTTCCTTACATGTTTAAAAGCATTATTCTGAGAAGGGGTCCATAGGATTCAGAATACTAAACAGAATCCATGACAAAAAAAAAAGTTAAGAATCCTTAGTATAGAGGCAATATAATGCAAACCATGATGGGAGATAGTGAGTAAAACAGTCTGAATTAAGCGAAGAGTTCCTGTGGGTAATTGGAGAAGTAAAATTGAAAGGCTATAGAGTTCGGTTTATATCAAAAAGCAAGGAGAAAGAATGAGATTTTTTTTTTCGAGTCTGGACTTTTCCAGCCAGTTCCGAAGTTCACAGAATGCATGAAATCCAAAGTGAAATTATCAGAATGAACAGTGCTTTAAAGAGACTTGAATGAGGCCTCAGCAAGGCAGGAATGCCGGTGATTAGTAGGAGGAAGGGGAATAAGCTTACCTTCTGGGCGCCCTGCTTTAGAAAAGTACGGGCAAAAGTCTCTAACATGCAGTTGAGAAATCCTGCCCCAGTGATTGATATTCTGCCTCTTTGGATGAATTCTGTCCTGCAATAGAACATATCCTTCTGATGTAAGTTTATTTCTCTGTACAAAGATGATATGAATTTTCAATAAATCAAAAGGATCATTTATCCTTTACTGTGTTGTAATGGCATGCCTTTTTTCCTTCCTCTGATTCATCACACAGATGCAAAACACCCCAATATATAAAGCCTGAGTGAAAATGCTAGGGGACACTAGCCCGCTACTGCACAGATAGTGAAGTTTTTCAAGTCTGGAGACTGGCTGAGGAACACTGCATTAAGTCATGCATTTAGGACAGACTTAGTGGCACTTTTGGTTTTTTATGCTCTTTGCTGCCCTTGCCTGCTTGGGCCAGGGTGCCCTTAGCCCAAAATCCCAGGGAGAATGGCCATCCACATGGAGGGAGGTAGCTTACCCTGGGAACCTACAGATTAGAACGTCTCAGAAGACCCAGCCTCAGGTCACAAAGAGCAATCTGTGAAGTAAGTGATAACTTTACAAGCTCAGCCATGGGGTGAGCCAAACTAGCCCCTCCCTATCTATCTTGTCCCCCACTTTCTTCATTCTCTCAATCAATTATGCTACTCAAGATCATAAAGCAGAGGTGAGAGTATAGAGGCAAGACAACATTTTTTTCTCTCCATCAGCTAAAATGCTGGAAAGTCCAAAGCAAGATCAAGAAGGATAAAAAAAAAATGTTAGAAATGTCATAAGCTTTAAGTTCTTTAGGGGGGAAGGAAAGGAAAAGGAAAGTATTGCATGGTGCCTACTATGTGCCAGGAACTGTGCTAAGTGCTTTCACAAATATCAACTCATTTGCTCCTTTTAACAGCCCTGTGAGATAGGTGCTATTATTACCTTCATTTTGCAATTGAGGAAACTGAGGCAAATAGAGGTTAAATGACTTACTCAAAGTCACACAACTCGTATGTAGATTTGAATTGAAATCTTCCTGACTCCAGGCCCACCACTCTACTCACCATGCCTGTATATAAGGAAGGGTCAGAAGCCCACACTTTTCTTTCTTGCCACTTTCTTTGTGGTCTTGGTACTTGTGGGATCAATGACAGGCCCAAAGTCAGGGACCCCCAACCAGAAGTAGCCCAGAAGCTCACATCAGTGGTCACATTCTCATACCTTTTGAGACCAAGAGACAGCTAACCATACCCTAAAATTTCATTGCAATAATTTGGTCTCAGAGTGTAGGCTTTGTGTATGGGCTATCTTCCATATTTCTGGCACAGCCACTAAATCCCTCGTTTAGAAAGCATTTGCTGCTGTGTAGCAGGGAAGCTGAATAAGCTCCCCAAATTCTCCCCTTCCCAACTCATGAATATTAGTTCAATAGTGAATTTTGTAATAAGATTTTTAAATTGAGGCCAAAATATTCTTATCCAAGTTTTTTTTTAATAGCTTCCTTCTAGGAAAATGGCATATTAACATGATTTTTAATATTCCTGTTGTCCGGAATCTTTTGTTGTTGTTGTTCATGAGGAGGGAAGGAGGGAAGAGAGCAGCTGCTCTACAGCCATCTTCAGGGTTCCATTAATACGTTCTAAAAGAAGAACTCCTCAGAGGTTAGGAAGAAGTACTGAATTATATTCCCCTTCCATTTTTGTCCTTTTCTGGAACTATCTCTAGAGGACCTATCATTGTCATCTGGCTACATGTACATTAAAAAAACAACTAAGACACTAATGAGTTTACAAGCCTGCAAAAAATCATCTTAGGTTTACAGAAATGAATTGGTGACAAAGGGAATGAAAGATTACCATTCTCCTGAGCCGTTTAGACTCCTTTCTCTCCAAAATTTTATTTTCAATCAAAAGAGGTAGAAGGGGATATCTGTAGCTTTCCCTCTCCTTTAACATGGAGAAGAGAGAAAATAAAAGGCACATTTTCTGGTAATGTGCTTTCACAGTGAAGGCATTTCTGGTAACTTCTTGGATCCAAAAAGCTTTGTTATCATGGTCTAAATTGTCCCTGTAAGTCCCAGATTGGACTCTTTCCACTGAGTAACAGCCTATGCATTCTGATTTCTAAGGCAAAGGAAAAGCATTCAAAACTCATCTCTCTCTCCCTCTCTCTCTCTCTCTCTCTCTCTCTCTCTCTCTCTCTCTCTCTCTCACACACACACACACACACACACACACACACACACACACATACACACACACATGATAGTTCATCCAAATATTCAGAATGTTTTCATAAGCTAGATAAGGGTCCTTCTATCTCTCATGTCTAAGCCAATTTAAAACCATTTGCTTGCATAAAATTATATTCTTGAGACATTAATCTTTCCCTTCCTTGATTATAGATTGTCAGCATAGAACTTTACAGAGATTTTAATATTTAAAATGAAAAGTTGAACATTCTCGTAATTTGAGGGAAACCATAGTCCTCTAAGTTTAGGTGACGGATTAATGAAATTCTCCCTTACATCACAGTCTAACTAATAAATTCTTTCAGTCATCTATATCAGAAACCACCTGATAAATGTCCTCAGAAGCTACCCACACATCATAGAATAATAGGGTTCAAAAGAGAAGTTATGCCCTTGTCATAGGACAGTTTGTTTTTTAAGAACTAAAGGGCAAGAAATTCCATGCCTTCTCTCCATAATTCATCCCAGTGTTTAACGACCACAATCAGCAATTTTTGGATTATTCATATATGTAAACTAAATCCTTAATGCTATGATTCACATAGATCAAGTACCCTGGGAAAAATACATTATGAGTCCTGTTCCTTCTTGCTACGTAACCAGGGAGCCAATTACCTCATCAGGGAGACTCAGTTTCTTTCCAAGTCACACAAATGGCTATGTGACCATGAGCAACTAAAAACACAGGTCACAGAAAAGGTACCTACCTGCACTTGTAGATGCAGCTCCTTCACTTTGGAGTTCCCTGTTCCACTGAAATCACAGGTCCCTATCCCTTATTATCCACACAGAAAAAAAAAACACAAGTGGATAAAGAATACCTATTGTTCCACATGGGGCCAATTTGATAGTTATAATACTTCTGTCTCTTTCCTCAGAGAACTCATAAGGAAAGTATTTTGTAAGCTGTGTTCTTTTTTTTAAATATGAGCTACTGCTATTGTTATATGTCCACTTATTTCATTCTGTCTTCAGTGAAGATGGTAATGGAGTTCATTACCAGCCTTTTTTAAGAGCACTTCATGTGCTAACCAATTCAAAAGTCCTTGTGTATCTATGATAAGTCATTTTCAGCAAAGGAGCATGATCTTTAATTTACCTTATATTTAAAGTCTTTTATTAAATCATCCCTTAGCTTTTTTTTCTCCATGCTAGCTGAAACCAATTATTTTCACCTATTCTCCTATCTTCTTATTCTTATATCTTATTCTCCTTCCCCCACCATTTTATTACCCAGTTCTCCATACATCTAATGAAGATGATAAGATGATTAAGGTCTTTTCACACTGCATTTTGGGAAGAGCTAGAACTGGGCAGTATCTAAACAAAGAACTACTATGGACTGATTATAAAGAGTATTTTTCTATATTTTGCATTCTAGATGTTAAATGCCTTTGGGTTTTGTTTTTGTTTTGTTTTACTATACCCCCTTAATTGCTAAATGCTGATCAGTTTATTAACCACAGAAGTAATGTGATGTAATGGACAGAGGGCAGGCCTTGAAGCCAGGAAGCCTTCTGTTCAAATTTGGTCTCTGACACATACAGGCTAAGTGACCACGAGTAATTTACTAAGACTAGAAGCTGCAGAGAAGGTACCTGTCTGAAAAGGGAGATGGAGTTTCCTCACCTGGGAGTTCCCTGTATCACTGAAATCACAGGTCCCTGTTCCTTACTATCCACACAGGAAAAAAAAAAGGAAATGAGGAAAACCTGTTGCCTCACATCATGACACACAATTAGATGGGCAGTTCATTGAATTAGTTCACATATGAGAAATGAGTCAAGAACTACAGTCTTTCTGGTAAGATGAAAGAATACCTGAACTTGCCAGCTTCCCTGTCATTGAATTTGCCAGATCCTTGGACACCACTAACTGCTTTGCCAGTGCCCCCTGTGGACTTCTGGGCTTCCTTATCCAGCCTGCTGAGTGACTGAACCCCACCTCTCTATTTGCGCTCTTTCCCAACTAGAATGTGAGTGCTTGAAAGCAGAGACTACCATGCTTTTCTATGTATATCCCCAGCACCTAGCACAGTGCTTGGCACTTAGTAAATTAATATATACGTATCTATATTTATACATATGTGTATATGTATGTATATAAAATATAACATTTATTATGAAAGAACTTCAAATCAGAGATCAGCCTGGCATTATTAAAAGTACTAAGACAATTTACCAAATGCATTATAGCTCAATTTCCTCCTGTTTTTCAACTCTGGGTCCAGGGGTCAGAAGGCAGATTGTAAAAGGTTGAAGAGGGAGGGGTTGATGAGAAGTAATAACAGTGAGTGTAAACAACCTTTTACAGAAGTTCAGCAGTGAAGGAGAAGAGGTATAAAACCTTGACCAGTTTGATACTGGTCAACTTTTAAGTTCAGAAGAGATCTAAGCATGTTTTCAGGCCCAGAGAAGGTCTTCCTGGACTCAAGGATACCTCTGTATACATTATACTACACTGCCTCTGTGGGGAACAAACTGACCAGAAATCAAGAGTTTACGGACATAATAATGTGGAAAAATAAGGACAGCATGAAGATAAGTGATTAAAATGGATGAGGCAGGATTTCAGAGGAAATAGAAAGGGATAGTACAAATGAAATGTAACCTTATTTAGGAGAAAAGGCTATTTCTTCTTTAGCAAAAGCAGAGAAAGTGATTAAAGATGTTGGGAGGTTTTGAGGTGTCGAGCAGGAAAGACAAGGGAGCTTACAATGCATGGCCTCAATTTTTCAATAAGAGGTAAAGTCACCTGCAGTGAAATACAAGGATAAAAATGGCCCTGGGAGCTTGAAAAGAATGTTAGACAGTCAATCAGAGGTGAATAAAAAGAAGTACCACACAGCCCCCAT